CGGGTAGCTTGATCTGTAGTTGTACATGGTTGGCCATGTCTGTGCTGGGCGAGCTCTTTCTTTCCTTGCATTCTGTGCGGCGCTTGGATGGCTTGGGGCGGCGGCAGCGCTTGGACGGCCGGGCGGAGGCGGGAGGCGGCACCTGGATGGCCGGACGGAGGCGGGACGCAACACCTGGTGCGTCGATCCGTTTTGACCACCAACGGGGAACGGTGACTATCGTATAAAGGAGAAAGCAGGCAGGGGTAGAAGCGGAAGTTTGTGTCTTCTTTTTTTTCCACGAATTAAAACTACTCAAAATGTATTTCAGTAGGTTATACCAGTCTTATAATAGCAAACGAGCGAAACCACTTTATATAATGGTAAAAGTACGAAACCAGTTTTTAATAATGGGTGAAATGCCAAGGTCCCCTTGGGTGTGGGGTGTGTGCGTGGGGGTGGGGGTGGGGCTCCAATATTTACGTTAATCCTTAAGCACCTGTCCTTCCAAGTACCATTCGCATTTATGAGAACATCTGTACATTGCAGGAATTTTCAGGCATGCATGACGAATTTGGCTGGCCGTACCGATCAACGATCGTGCAGATAACCCTTTGGCCCACGGAACACTGGGAAAGCTGGCAAGCGGCAAATAATTAGTCAAAATACAGCTATACATCAATCACATACCTTCCTTGTAGCGTATGATTCCCATGTGAAATGCTTCAGCCAACATTATTGATTCATTTGGTTTTCCAACTGCATCATGGTTTCTCCTTTCCTGTGAACTGGGAGCTTTTTTTTGTTGTTGTTGTTTTTTTGTTGTTTAGGTGCTTATGTTCCTATGCAGAAGCTAGCATTATTCTTTTTGGGTCACAATCACAAATACTTCAACATCTCTCAGATAAGGTTTGATTAAGCTTTTAGAATTTGGACAATCAATAGGCTTCAAATACTTAGTTTGGAACCATGAAAATTATACATGTGGATTGTTCTGAAAAATACTTTCATGACATCATAAACCATTTGGCAATATTGTCCAAAGTATACTGACATGTTCAAAACAGTATTGTTTACGGGAGGGAGTAGAAGTAACATCTGACAACTCAACGATGACCCCTTTTATGTTCCAAATTGACCATCGCTGTAGATCAGTTACTACTTTCTAGTGCATGGAATATTTTGTTTACCTGGATTGCAACTGGTACCGATGGCATGGATAATTTATCTAACTGTTGTTAGTCGACCATCCATTGGCTTGTGAAATCTGCCATGCACGGTGGTAATAATGCAGCTGCGAATTTATTTGTCATGATAGATTCCACCATTTGATTCCTACAATTTGTTAGAAACGATAGCCAATATAAACGATGAAGAACAGTATATTAAACATAGGGGACACGAGATTTTAACGTGGAAAACTCTTCCAAGGAAGAAAAAAAAAACCATGGACACCAACCAACAAATCTTCACCATATCGGATGAGGTTACAATCGTCGAAGATTTACAACTTTTCTTATCCCAAGACGATGGCTTACGTGAAGTATATATAGATGGATTTTTTTTTTTTTTTTTTTTGTGGAGGAGGAACCAGCTAGTGGGGTCCATTTTCTATGCTTTTTCTTTAAACTATATATATGCACTCCTTTGCTTGAGACACATCCAAGCATAGAATTGGAATTAGCCTCTGAACATGCCTGAGGATTAGGATTCTATCCTATTGCATGTACTACCGGGAAAGGCCCATCTTGGAATCACATGTGTACACTTGATGTCTACTTCTGCATAAACAGAAATAGGCCAAGCATAAATAATGGACATAAGTCGAGTTGTATGTTAAATTTAAGAACAGAAAGAGCGGAGACGGAGGTGGTGATGTAGAGGCGGCGGCGGTGAAGAATTGCGGGCACCGCCACCGGATCTAATGAACCCGCCTGCAGCCTTGGTTTAGAGGCGAGACCGCGAGAGGTGTAGAAGGACGTGAGACCAATTCCTCCCGGTAAGTGGGCCCATGGTTCCAGCCCCACGAGGCCGAGAGATGGGTGCAAGCTTGGGCTCGACCTCGAACGGCGGAGGAGCGGGCTCGTACGCGGGCTCCTACGCTGGGTCACGCGGGCAATGGGCACGGGCGCACGGCAAGTGAGCCGTGCCCGTGAGCGGGCAATGGTAGAGTTGTGAGTTGAAAATAAACTGGGGGATCATTTCTGAAAGAGACGCAACTACTGAGTTTGATGCTGGTGAACTGGTGATTGTTTCACGCGACGGTAAGAAATTATCTTTGGCAGGGAAACGATCTGGCCCAAACCGAGATAAAATCGAGATCTAATTCCGAACCCTGATTGCAGAATCTCCATGAATTTTCAAGAGTCTGCAGTAGACAAGGCAGAGGACTCTTCACCTGCACTACCAGTGAGGGCAAAAACGACCCTGCAGCAGCAGCAGCGAGTACCAGACAAGGCAGAGACTGATCCTTCAGCCATCACCTGTAGCTGCCTAGCGACCATCGCATTTAGCAGCGCGGCCCACTTCAAATCAGACTTTTTTTTCTGTCAGGTGGGCTACGGCCCACTTCAAATAAAAATTATGGGCTTATAAGCATTTTATGCTTAAACTGTTGGCATCAAAGATAGAAAAACGCAAAGTCTAACGCGCTGTGCGGGAGAGGCAAGGCGGAGCCCATAAAAGCCTGTCATGCTAGACAAGAGCGCGATATCCGATCTAGGCTGTTGGCCCAACAATGCGAGGCAACCAGCACACGCTGACGTAAGAAGCTAATTGGAGTTTTGAACTAAGCCATCAACGATTTAAAATTGGATAACTTTCTTCCCAAATGTTCATATGGTTTGGAGTTTTGAACTAAGCCATCTAACTCGCTTCGGCCCAAGTCTCCCAACGACGGGCCTCGCTTCACTCCGGCAGAAGTTAGCTTTTATCCTATACATAACTGAATTTGCATCACAACTCAACACAATTTGCAGCCATTCAGGGTTGTGAAGGACTGGAATGTAAACTTCTCTTTCCAGCTTCAGAGTTCTGTTATTATGTTAAGGTTAAGGTGGATCTAGAGTTTTGCAGGAAGTGTGAAGAAGGCACTAACAGTAACAGTTCCACTCACGAGGAGCAACTAGGAAAGCCAGACAGTCAGAGACACAGGGCCTCTTCGGCCAACTGGACCTTGATGTGCCAGTCATGTGCTGAAAGATTCCAAATCCTCAATTGCAGACGTGCCTTCTCAATCATTTTGAACACATAAAGCGATAAGGTAAACAACAATTGGAGTGTTGTTAACAGCAGCCTGGCATGGCCGGATGCGTCGTCATCTGAATAATACTGAGGGCAGGACATTAGGACAGGAAACCTAAGCTCTGGAAATTGTAGTGGCTAGGAGCCACTGATCATGGCCTAAAAGTGCTAACCACTGCATTACAAAAAAACGTGTGGGTGTTGCAGGTTCCAAGTGGCTGTTATCACGGAATGGTATGAAAATGCTAAAGATTCTCGCTGTTTTGTTAAATTTGGATGAGTTGAGCATGACAAAAGCACAAACCTTGCCCACTCCGTATATGGGTAAGACGGCTTGCATGACACATTAGATGTTAACAAAAAGGAAAAGGAAAAGGATCTCGAGGATCTTCATGTTTGAACTCAGAACACCAAATAAACTGTTGTTGATGGTCAGAAGACTATGTAGTCAAGTTTTCTTGTTATTAAGGTAAAGAAATCACCCTTTTACTGCAAACTCCCGACTCTGTTGTATGCATCATGCATGCTAATGCTATTTTACTTAGGCTTATCAGTCACAAGTTTCATCTTTTCACCACCAGAAGCTTGGAAACCCTCCTTGAAATCAAAAGGGGAATACTACTTAGCTTTAGCTACATTTTATATTCAGTTGTTAAAGAATACCAGAAGAAGGTACCAAAAGGCTTGGTCCTAGCTAATCATATGGTGAAGTCGTTGCCACCTATGGCACCTATGGCAGCATGCAGTACTATCATATTGTCGTGGTTTTCAATTGCTGTACTGATGCAAACGTAATGGGTTTAATATCCTTGCAGCCACCGACTTCAAAATGAAGAGTGCTCATTTGGTCCACGTCACCATCATCGTCCCGAAGTGTCTAGAATGCCAGGCAAAGCTGATTGGACAGGCAGGCTGGGAAAAGAGCACCGATGACGATGGATGCAAGTTCCCACCATTGGAGGGCAATGATTATCAGCCATACGACTTGCTACAGAACAAAAATCTTCGAGCTAAACACTGTCATGCATGCCTCTCAGAAGGAGCGAAAGCCTATGGTCAAGCATGTGTTTACAACGAAGTGAAACACTAAATCATGCTAAAGTGCTAAAACTTTTATCTCTCATGTCGCACTTGCACAAACAGAGAAACGGGACTGCATTTGAAATGAAACTCTTTACTCTTATGCTTTGTTTCCTGATTGACCAACTGACAAATTCCCAAGCATCTGCAAGAACATGACTTCTAAATTTCAGAAGAAAAATAAAAATACAATGCCCAACTACATAAACGTTGAAATAACATATCCTCCTAATGACAGCCCATCTGACACTTGCAGCCGTTCAAATGTACCATTAACAAAATATTTAAGCGTTACACATGAGATAACATATCTTCCAATTAGCGGCTTTGCCCTTTAGTATTGTCATTGGCTCATTGCTTTGGTGTATCCTCACAGGACACTCCATAAAAAGTTCATAATAGCAACAGACATCTGAACAAAGCTTGGTGCGCCTACTCGGCCGGGCTAGCTATAGCTAGTACCAATCATGGAATAAGCTAGTATATTCCTATAGTTGTAATTGAAATGTTTGATGTTTGTGACGATAATCCGCACCGCCCAGAATACTCTAATCCACAAGTTGAGGCCGCCCATTAAGCCTTGAGCGCCAGGACGCGTGTATAAAAGGGGCCTAAGCTGACTGGACTCCTCGCATCAGTGAAGCAGCAATCTCTCAAGCTCAGAGCGCCAAGTCTTCCGCGCCAATCTCTCAAGCAAGATGGTGAAGCTCGCGTTCGGAAGCGTCGGCGACTCCTTCAGCGCCACCTCCATCAAGGCCTACGTGTCCGAGTTCATCGCCACCCTCCTCTTCGTCTTCGCCGGCGTCGGTTCCGCCATCGCCTACGGTGAGTATAACTGTTCCAGCCATGCTCAAATGGTTGACTTTGTCTGTGTGGCTCAATGCATGGAAGTATGGAACGATGCTGAACAATTACCTGTCCGTCCACGTGCAGGGCAACTGACCAATGACGGCGCGCTGGACCCTGCCGGTCTGGTGGCGATCGCGATCGCGCACGCGCTGGCGCTCTTCGTGGGCGTCTCCATCGCCGCGAACATCTCCGGCGGCCACCTGAACCCGGCCGTGACGTTCGGCCTGGCCGTGGGCGGCCACATCACCATCCTGACCGGCCTCTTCTACTGGGCGGCCCAGCTGCTGGGCGCGTCCGTGGCGTGCCTGCTCCTCAAGTTCGTGACCCACGGCAAGGCCATCCCGACCCACGGCGTGTCCGGGATCAGCGAGCTGGAGGGCGTGGTGTTCGAGATCGTCATCACCTTCGCGCTCGTGTACACCGTGTACGCCACCGCCGTCGACCCCAAGAAGGGCTCCCTCGGCACCATCGCGCCCATCGCCATCGGCTTCATCGTCGGCGCCAACATCCTCGCCGCGGGGCCCTTCAGCGGCGGCTCCATGAACCCCGCCCGCTCCTTCGGCCCCGCCGTCGCCGCGGGCAACTTCGCGGGCAACTGGGTCTACTGGGTCGGCCCGCTCATCGGCGGTGGCCTTGCTGGTCTCATCTACGGCAACGTCTTCATTGGCGGCTCCTACCAGCAGGTCGCCGACCAGGACTACGCCTAAGTGCATGCTCCGTCTGGATTGTTTGAATTTGAACCCATCGAACGCAGCGTTTCGATCAGCCTCGTCGTTTGCTTTGCTCTTCGCCACGTCAAATGGTTTGTATGTATGTGTCAATGATGTCTCGTCCATGGTCCTTTGTATTCATTTCCCTTTTTTTTTCGGGGTAAAATCGATGTGAAGATCTCGTCCGATCTGCGGTTTTCGCCTTGGAGTGGAAAGAAAGTGATTTTCGTTTCGTTTATGCATGGATTTCTTGGGTCGTTTATGGTTTTCATTCATCCCCACGTCTGCGCCCCCCAAATCGTGATGGTTGCAATCGCGCCCGTGCAATGGTTACTACCCGCGCAAACTTCCAATCCATTATTGCACGGGCGCGTCTTCGCCTTTTTAAAACGAACAAAGCAGCACGCAGTTCCTCTGGAATTCTTGAACCCAGCACGCAGTTCCTCTGGATTTCTTGTCACGAATGATGATGGTCTGCTTGCAGGTTGCAGCAGTACGTGCTTCTCGCCGTTTGCCCCGCGGTTGTACCTCTTCGTGTTCGCCACCGCTGGCTCCGCCGTCTCTGCACGTTCGTAGCTTTGTTGCGGCTTGCGAGTTACGGCCCACTCATCGCATGTTTCTTGACTTTTGTTGTGCGCCCTGGAGGTATGCTCACGCCGGACGTGACATCCGACGCCTCGCCGCTGCAGGCTTTCGCGCTCTTCGTTGCGGTATTCATCGCGGCTGACGCGCCTGGCCGCCACGCCAAGTCGCCAACCCCGCCGTCACGTTCGCCTTCGCCATCGGTGGCTACATTGCCGTGCCGACCGCCATCCTCTGTCCACGCCTTCTCCGCCGGCGAGGCAACGGAACACCGTCGGCACGCAGAATGTATTTCTCCTGGTCATTTCGTTCCGCCGTGCCGAGGTGGCAGCATGACCGGAACACCGACAACGAGGTTTTTTTTAAGATGTCATCGGGGGTGAGAGCCTTCCGCAAGTAAACCTGGATCTCGAACACCTACAAAGGTCCGAAGCCATCTTCACTATCAAGTTTTGGCACCAAACATCAACTATTTGTCTATCCTGCTGCTTTAAACGGCAGCCCCACAGGCGGCATGCCTCCTTGCAAGCAGCTAAGAGGCGACGTATGCAAGGTTGCTGGTGGCGGAAGACAACATCATGCCTGTGATTCCAGATGTTCCAGCAGCATAGCAGAATCATGGTGTTGAAGTGTAGTCATGGGAGGTCGCATAAGAGGAGAGTATGAATTAAGTAACTTAAAAATCTACTTTTAACCATAGCTTCTAAATTCCACCTTAACAAAACCTATACAAGAAAGTAATCTATCTAAATGTGCAATTATAGCGCTATCTCTTGGTTTTAACAGAGGTATACAAACCTCACTAAGCAACTAGACCTAAAAATAAATTACAAGCACAGCCAAGGTAGCAATATGAACATGATCTAACTAACCTAAGAACTCCCGTCGACGACTCCGGTATTTTTACCGAGGTAAATCATCTACGCGTTGGAGCCTCTCGCTAATCACCAAGTGATCTTTAACTCCGTATGCATGTGGAGAGCACAAATAAGGTGTCGGCAACTCGGACCGCTTCCCCTCTTCTATCTTCCATCGGTCTTGTTCTCTCCCACTTCAAATGGCGGTTGGGGCAAGTATTTATAAGCCCCCCAAGTCGAAACTAGGTTTAGAGGTATACAAACATCACTAGGCTAGAGATCCTGAGCATGATCTAACTAACCTCTCAAATCATGGTCACCAAGTGATCTTGAAGACAGATGCATGTGGACACAAATGACGTGTAGACTAGCCTATCTTCCCTGCTCACTAACAGCCGATCGTGTACTAGCCTCACCAGCTGTTGTGGCGGTGACCTGATTTTAGGGCGTTGCTCACTGGCACCGATCGCCATCTGTTCACCGTCCGGTGCTTCACGCGCTGCCGAGTCCCCCCCATGGTGGTGACCAGGTGGTGGTGCACATGTTGACTGGTGGTGCACATGTTGCTGTCTGGTGCCCCCTCTCCTTCTAGCTGCAGCAGCCCTCTGTTTGGTGGCACCGCCACCCCCTGGCAGTGCACCGCCATGCCTAGGGCGGTGACCCCTCTTGCTATTTCTTCGCGTTTCTTCGTCGAGGCTTTGTCGTCTTCGTGTCTTAGACTCTTTGCTTCTCTCCTAAGCTATCAACACCTCCTCCAATGTCTTCTCTTGAGTGTTGATCAATTTCTTCACATTCCAAAGTTGGTCCAAGTCCGCGTTGCATCCTATTTGACTATAAAATAGACACTAGCAAAACACATTAGTCCAATTTAATTGTGTTGATCATCAAACACCAAAATCAAAGTAAATGGGCCTAGGGTCCATTTTCCTTACAATATCTCCTTTTTGGTGATTGATGACAACACGACCAAAGCAAGCAAATAATAATAGATGCAAAAATTTAAAAACTATCTATTTGCTAGGATGCAATGCAAAGCAAGTTTATATGATGCAAAAAGATACCACTTGTGAAAACTTTGAAACCTTATCTTACCCTTGTAAATGTCCCCATGTGGCATTATGGATTTAAGCCTCCCCTAACTCCATAATCCACTATTCTTCCTATCTTGAACCATTACCACTTGTAAATTATTATGATTGGGCTTGCTTTTGGTCCTATAAATTCTCCCCCTTTGGAATCAAACACCGAAAAGAAAGACATTAGTAGTACAAGGGAGGGTCAAACTTTGTGATCCTTTGTATGTGGAGTGGAATAGATCACAAAATTTGGCTCTCACATTACATAGACTAAACTCCCCTAAATATATGCATACATATGATGGAGGGTGAAATATATGCATAATCGATAAATTAATGCACAAGGGAGTTTAATCTATATAATGCATAAAAAAGACATATAAATATCAAATTAAAGTCAACACAATGATATCGGTTAGGAATACCACATGTAGAAACCAATTTGATTGACACCACTTGAAATGGATGGTGATCATTTGAAGTTTGATGCTTATCTCAGGGGACTCTATTTTTCTTGCAATGAGACTACTACACACATGATAAGCTTAAAAAGGTGTTAGTTTCAAAACATCCAACTTATTGAGTAACCCCTCTAAATTTGTGCACATAAGTATGGAATACTTGTAGGGGACATGCACATTGATTTTAGAATAAAAAAATACCACTTGAAAAATAACATCACATGAATGTGAGAATCATTTTTAAAAATAATATTTGGGAGAAATTATCTACAATTTGGAATTTGGCACATATTAGATAACCAATTGTAGAACAAGCCATGTGCCGTGCTCCTAAGCAATTTAAACCATGTAAGTTTGATCCAAGGGTAAGAGTGGTACCGAGCAAGCCTACCATAAGATATACCTAGTGTATGCATGACAAAAGATTAAACATGCAAATGCAAACTTAGGCACGAAAAGAAACTAGATGCTAATTGAGATTACAAGAAATTAAATCTAGTTACCTAACATGGGGAGGAGAATTTGGGTCCATAGTATTCACTAACCCACTTGGCAATCACCTTTACCATCATAATGCACCCCATGAAATGCACCCAAATTATATCAAGTCTCCAAATTTCCCGAAGTCCATCGAACTTCTCACTTCTCCTTCGAGATCCAAACCTTCTTGGTGCTCTTCATATTGGAAATGATCTCCTTTGACACCCAAATGCGTTTGGTCCTATTGTTAGCTTGCTTATTCACCTTGGTGGCCACCACCTTGTCATTTTTCTTCTTCTTCAAGAGATGAGGTGTGTAGGTCTTTTTGTCCACCTTGTTGGTGTAGGTATTGAAGAGCTTGCTTGTTTCCTTTTTGTTTTTCTCTTTCTTCTTAGCTCCTCCCCCATTCTTCACCTTGCACTCATAGGACTTGTGGTCTTTCTTGTGGCATACATAGCAAACTACAGTTTGTCCTTCATCAAGCTTCTTCACTCCCTTTACGGTGTTATCTTGATGAAGTTGGACTTGCTCTGTTTTGCCTTTTACTTTGAGTCAAGTCCTTGGTAAGGCGAGCCACTTCTTACTTGAGTTGCTCATTCTCCATTGCAACCTCTTGTATGCATGTATCTACAATAACTTTCTCAACATAAACTTAGTTGCACAAGGGTGAGTCTAAACATAAATCATTGTAAGAAGTAGATGCATCATTTTTAGGCATGTCAAAGATTGGAATTTTCTTTTTAGGTGCCTCGGTGGGGTAGTACCAACTGCTTCAAGATTAGCAACTTTATTAGTTAGCTCATCACAATGTTTGCACATGGTTTCCATTTTAGCAAGCAAACATTTATAGGCATTTTGTAAGCTAGCTAACTTTTCATTTTAATTTTTTATTTTTCTTTACAAGTTGCTCATCATTGATTGTGCATGCATTTGTTGTTGTACTAGCCCCAAGTTGCTCAATTTTAGTAGATAGTTCAATATTAAAATTAGCAAATGTCTTATATTGTTCAAACAAGGTTTTATATGCTTCTTGTGAACTATCTAACTTTTTTGGAATATTTTTAGCTTCTTTTGTTGATTAGTGCAACTTTTAGCATATTTAAGATTTTCTTGCACAAGTTGCTCATAAGAAGGTAGCTTATCATCACTATCACTATTATTGTCACTATCACTAGGGATAGATTTTTTTGTTACCTCGTGCCATAAGGCACACTCGTGAAGTACTTGATGATGAGTGCTTGTACCCTCGTCTCTTATGATGATTTTCTTTTTCGCTTGAAGAATCATCCCATAACCTTATTGATGTGAGGGATTTGTCCTTGCATGCCTTCTTTTTTGTCTTGAGTGTGGGCTTGTTTGGACAAACTTCCACAAAGTGCCCCAACTAGCCGCATCCATAGCATCCTTTCTTCTTTTGCTCATTTCTTTGATCGGTAAAATGAAATCTTGAATTTGGATGGACACACCCTTGACATTGAGCCGTTGGATCATCTTCTTCACCTTGTTGATAAGTTTGATTAATTCTTTATTAAGGTCGGAGG